CATCCTACAAGACTCTTGAGGCTTAAAGGCTACATTTATCTTCAAATATAAAGGTTTCTATTAAAAATGGAAATGGAAAGAAGAGTGGCTTCCTAGGTCCATAGGTTCCTGTAAGGAACACAATGCTTCCCTGCTTCCCTCTTTTATAATCATATGGAACACTCCTAACCTTTGGGTAAGCTAATTGTTTGTCCAAAATGTATAAGGATTACATTTTGATGAAGAATTATCCCTTGGGATGCCAGCTTCTAACATTAGAGAAAAAATACTATCCTCTGAGATTGAAATTTTAGGAACAATATGTGCACTAAAAACTTTCCTCCAAAAATTATATTATTTTGTTTTGTTCATGGACACACATGAGTCCACTTAAACTTCCCAAAGTTGGCCTGCAGGTCTTTTATCTTGCCTCTATTCACAGTTGGGAGTTACCCTTTTTGTTATTCACCATCTCTCACTTGAACTGCTAGATTGGAAACACCCTCTAAAAACTCTTTGACCTCCTTTTCCTCTTGTGCTGCCTGGTGCATCCAGGGTAGTCTGAAGGAGTTTGGTTATAACCTACAGGCATGTAGCATTTAGCTCTGTCAGACAGGATTACCAAAGTTTCCTACCATTGTTGTCAGTGACTCAGTTGTCAGTGTTGTTCTTAGTGCTGTGAATGGAGCGCTCTGGGATTTCCTCGTGTTTTCTGTTTCAATACTTTGCAAACCAGACTTACCAAATATGTTTTCTACCCTGGTCAACCTCACTCATGGCAGAACAGAACCAGAAGTAGTAATAGGATGAAATTTTAGTGGGGAAAACGTTGGTTTGATGACAAGCTGCATTGGGGATAGCCTCAAATGAATGGCACTGTCCGAAAATACAGGTCATGTGGGGCTGTAAATATCCCACCCTCTTCGTTTCTCTCTAAAGAGATAATAGCTGTGTCCCCACACGGAGAAGGTAAGTACTGCATCTTTAAGGTCTCAGCAGTGAGGTAGAGGAGAGGAACATATTTTCAGTGTTTATACCTTTCTTCTTTGTTGAATTTGGGATTGGCTTCAGAGATATCCAGGCTTTTACTGAACATTGTTTTACTATGGCAGGAACAAAGCGAGAAAACAGAGTTACTAGTGTGGACATTTATAAAAGAGAGTCACCTGAAGCAATTCTGGACACCCAGACCCCCATCCCATCCTCCCGTTTTTAAGCAATGCTTTGAAAAACCTTTATTTTGCTTTCCAGCTATGGCTGAAGACTACACAGTGCTGAATTTCATTATATTCCCCTGATTTCTGAGGTCTAGGATGACTCCCCCCGTACATACTGCTCTCCTTTATCCAACTGAAAACCCAGGTACCATCTAATTTGTCACATTGTCCAGGGAAAATAGAACATGCCTGAGGGCAACAATTGCAAAGAGCTCATTATTCAGACTTCTCTAGAAGACCTCAATACTAAGCACAAACTGGGAAAAGGTTAAAATCAGGCCATAAAGCCTCTTAGAGGAATAGTAATCCATTTTGCATTCTAATTTGTAGGGTCCATTACCACTTACTCCCAACTCTCTTCCCTATATTCAGTGTATAGAGAAATGGCCTTCTTTACCATCTTGGGTCTGAATCCCTGAAGCTTAGAAGCAAAATTCCCTATGCTTTCCTAAAGGAGAAACTCTTTGTAATATGTTTCACTGGTAATATGTTTCATTGATTCACAGAACACTGCTTCCTTTTGTTAGCTCATCTTTCATGCAAGCTATCCACTTCAATAACCAGAAGAAAATGAATAGTTAATGAAGCCCATTTTAGAACAGGTTTTGGACTCTTACAGCAGAGCTGCAGAAAATTTCTGGCATACCCCTGAGGGATTCTAGCTCCCAAGAAACTATTCCTAGTCTATGTGATTTTGGCACAGGGGACAAATTAGCTGGTGTTGAACTAAGCTCAGATTCTACCTCTTCTGTTTTGCAATGAAATATCAGATAGTCTAAGTAGTGTGGATACCTCAACAGCAGAAGCAATTAAGATGTAATTATGAGCCTGTTTAGTTAACAACTAGTAGGGCAAAACAAGAATTAACCAAACTTAGTAACCAGTTTTAGGGTGGCTAGTCTGCATGCATCATACTAACTTTGCCATATATAAAGACCCATTGAAGAACATTTGGAGAGGTCATATCAAGTATTTCCAGGAGTCTGTAAGTTCAACAAGCAGCCTTTGTGCTAAGTTCCCCTCCTCCAGTATTCAAAACTCAGTCACTGAAGGACTATGTTTTTCACTTAATATTATCTCAGCCTGTAGGGTTGAAGGCTGCCCAGTTTCAAATCTTGATGGAAAGATATGCCCTTAAAAAAGTCAAAACCAGACACTTGTAGGGTCCCCATGTGGTTCCCAAAAGCACAGTTTATCACACAAACACATCGACCAGAGGTTATAACATAAATTGCCTTTATGCAAGCAAACATCTGTTTACTACCAGGCAAGAGGACAACAGGACTAAATCACAAGACACATGGGTGTGTTCTGCCCATTGGTCAGAAGAGTATCTCTGCCAGCTCAAGAAAGAATGCAATGGCTGAGTGTGTCCAAATGTTTACACAGGTCATCTGTGCCTAAGCAGAAGATCTGTTTCCCTGGTCCACCTCCCTGTCTTCCTAGGATAAAAAGCACAGAATAGTCATCTGTTGCGACAAAAAACTGTTGTTCATAAAAAAGTATCCACTGCTGGGATCTAATCCCTACTGCTGTATCCACTCTCAGTGGTCATTTCATGGAATATATGTGACTAGCCATTAAAAATCCCCCACTCTTGGTGGAAACACTTGTCATTTTTTTACTGACTGTTCTGACAGATGGTGCCCCATCAGAAATACATTGTCCCCAGATAATCCCCATGCAGTGGTGTTCGTTTATGAAGCCAGTTCATGTTATAAATGACTGTGCTGCCAGCAACACAGAATGTGCTGTTGTCATCTGTGAATGTGGATGGTATGAATTATGGAAGCTCACACATGGAGTAAAATTACATCTTCCCTTTAATCCCTTCCAAAACAAACACTAAGCCCACCATCCATCATGGTGTTATTACATCCCCTTTTCCACCCTTAATCACACCTTTATGTCCAGCTTTGAGTTGTGATATGCATTGCCCTGTATTTCTTTTGTGCCTGGCAGGTTTCACTTCCTCCTTAAGCCAAAGCCCTTCTTTACTGATATGTAAGCCTGGATATGGCTCTGTTCTAAACTCACCTCAGACCTTTTTATCTTCAATCATTTCCTCATGTGCAGAACAGAGTGAGACATTTAAAAGCAAAAGAAATGCTATGGATAGCAAGAGACAGCTTTGCCTCTTCAGACTTCTTAATCTGAAGTCAAAGCTGAGAGCTGGAAGAGAAGATTTCAGCTCTCAGAAAACTCCAGGATGAACCCAACAGTTCCTATTTGTTCTGCCAAGTTGGATGCTTACTGTAAATAGCTGCAGAGTACAGCAACTCACAGGCAGCCTTGGGGTGAGGGAACGTGATTCACGTCTGGCTCTGAGAGCTTCGTGGCCCATGCATCTACTGGGTACCAGATTAACCACTGCAAGCTGAATAGTTAGAAACTGTCAGTGTTGTGTTCATCCTTATTACTTTGAAGCCTATGAGGAATACTGAGCACACCCTGTTCTGAACACTTTCTTTGCCTAGACCTCACATCAAAGCAAATCATACACTCAAGACAGGTTTCCAACCTACAGTGAAAAATGTTTATGTCAGTGCATCTCAAGGCCACATATCCAGTCTGAAGTAATTCCTAGCAGATTCTGGAAATTACCAAGTTTTCTTCACTGCAGACAGAACCATAACAATTGTCAGCCAAACTTTCCAGCAATTCTAGGGGCCTCTGGATATTAAATTATTTCACATTCTTCACTCAGTTCTCCACCAGCAATGGGAGTTTCTGAGCACAGCAGGCTCTTGTTGAGCAGATCTTAACAGCTGAACAATAAAATCATGTCATAAAGCTGAAACAGAAGTTACAGCATCATCAGCATACATATATGTGAAGTGTTTTTTAATATTGATTGATTTCTGCAGGAGTGAATCCAAATGCATGTGTTTCTCTTAGGCTAGTCGTAGGGACTGAGGAAACAACTTCCCTGCTTTACTTAAGTGTTCTTTCACTGTTCACTTGCTGTCTTAGAACCTGCCTTGAGGTGACACCATTTTCCTCTGCTGTTTCTCCATAAGACTGACACTTTCTTTGATAGAAAAGAGGCAAAATTAGACATATTCCATCACTTTACAGGCACATGGTAGGCGGGACATGGTTTAGTGCTGAACTCAGTAAAGTTGGGTTAATGGCTGGACTCAATGATCTTCAAGGTCTTTCCAACTAAAATGACTTTGTGATTCTGTGGTAATTTATGTGGGTCAGATGCATGCTGGCTCTGACAGCATATTTTAGGGCATCTACAGAAGGATAGAGCTTTCCAGATCAAAGCTGTTCGGATTACATGGAAGGTGGGGTCCATCTCATTTAACTTTGGGTGCCCAGAAGCTAGGCCCCTAATCCAAGATAGTAATCTAAATTCCTTTTGTAGACTATGGAGACAGAGAGGAACAACGAGAGGGCAATTTATCCCATCCAAGACTGTTGGAACAGAGGTCATATATACCTGAGACCTTCCAAAGCACTTGTCTGTCCCCATTACCTAGAGTGAGAGGCTGTATCACAAGCTTAGACTGAATACCTATGCTCTTGACAATTAAAAAGAGGTGCGATGAATCTTGCCCAGAGGACATGGCATTTTCCTGAGCAATAGCTGCAAGCATGCAGAACCTTAACCCCTGGCAAGACTTCTGGTCCTGTGTGCATAAGTGCTGCTGGCTGCCAAATCATCTTGCAGATGTGCTTCGAAGTTCTAATGAGTGGTGATGCAAACACAAAGGCTCCACAGCTCCTTTACATATATAACATAAAGGAGGTAGAAAACCCAGGCAGGCAAGACTCCTGGGTGAAGGAGAGACCCACCTCTGTCCATGTTGTGCCATTTCAATAGCTCTGCGAGCAGGGACTGGGGAGCCACCATCTGTCACACTGAGAACCTCCATCGACTTCCTTTCTGGCCGCCGCTTCCCATGCCTGTTCAGCATTGGGGAGTCCACACGCTTCCTGGGGGGATCTTTATGAAAAGAAAACACTGTCAGCTGAATTCGGCTGTGATTTACCTCCACAGATTGGTTAAATCCTCTCTCCACAATCTCACTTTCACACCTCCCCTACAGAGACAGATATCTTCATCATGGAGGTGAACGTTTGCAGTTTCTCTCATCCTCCAAATCTGCAAACATAAGAATGAAGTTCTAATCCATAAACAGAGGGAAGGAGCACTGCTACTGCTGTGAATGTAGGAGGACTGTAAAATAAAGGTATAACTATAGCATAGCTTGCAGAAATTACCTTTGAAAGCTGGTAATAGTAATAACCAGATGTCAGCATGGGCTATAAGCACAAGCTCTTAGCCAGAGTATAAGCCATTGAGGGATCCTTTGTACATACTCAGGTTGCTAAAGCTTGTCTTTGATGTCCCCACTACCTAGATTAAATGTGACACAGGGATATGCATGCACTTTGAACTCAGAATTGCATTCTCTTCTGAAAACATACCCTTTTTTGCATCTCTAAGATTACATTTCAGATTTTCTCCACTGCTTTATAGTTTTTCTCCTTCAGCACTACAAATTAAAAGACACTTGTCTACCTGAGATGAAAGCTACTGAAGTTTATCTCAGAGGTCATCATACAGCTTTTACTATGATAGCAACTGAAGTGCTTTGCACTTTTTATTGTAACATTTTTATGAGGTATTGAAGTGCTACTTTAACTTTGCAGAGTGAAAAACTGAATTATAAGAATGAGCTACATAAAGGCAATTCATTGCTAAAGGTCCTGACAAACCTTAACTGAGGTTCAGAGGAACACCTAAACTGGAAAGTCTTTAGATAGATACCAAACTACATTTCTAGAAGGTGACTTGGCCAAACCACACATAACATCGTGGTGAGGCACAGAACCAAATGCAAACCTGCTGAGCTATTTCATCACTAGTGTCTCTCATGGCATCAAAACAGAAAAAAGGAGAGAAGCAGAAAAAAATACAGAAGGATTTTCTTTCCTTTCTTTTCTTCAGTTGGGCTACTTCAGTTCTCTGTCTCTCTGTACAGACAAGTCTTTTTTTTTTTTTATTTTAGTGGACAGTGACCACCTGTAAAAAAAAGCATCCTTCACCCCTGATTTTAGAAAGCAGTGCCCAGACTCTAAGGCTTCTTCCTCTGCCAGGATTCCTTTTATAACACCAGAAATACCACAGTTGACAATTCTACCTCTATTGCCTAGTCTGATGGTACTATTTTTACTATTCTGCCCTGCTCACACCCCCTATCTATGTGCTTGTTAATTCTCTCTCTCATGTAATATTTTAAGACCCCTTTAAGGCAGGGCTTATTCTTGAAACAACAAGCATGAGCAAAGACGGCTCAAATGGAAATGGGATAGTGATAACAACTAACCCCGCTAATGTACAACCAAGTATTCTTTGCATTACTAGTAATAATGTTCCTGTTAAAAATTCATTAGAACAAATGCAGTTGTAGCTCACTCCATTTCAAACTATGTCCAGTAATAAAAAGTTATCAGAAAATACTAACAGGGGCAATGATCTCCAGTTTAGGAAAAGTAAATAGTGCATAAAGTTCAGGGAAAAACAAAGGGACATAAACCTAATAAAGCAGTTAGGTGGAGTGACTTTAGCTGCACACATGTACGTGGTCAAAAGTAAGCTGGGACAAGGTTTACACATTCCAAACTCCTACTTCTTCAAACAAGTTAAAAGAAAAATAAAAGATTCATCTCACAGGACTACTGCTGGCATCAAGACATAGGAATAGAGCCAAGACACATAATGACAATGTAATTATATTTGGTATCTACAACAGAGAGTGGATACAAGTTTTGCAGAGGAATATTAGACATTAGAAAGGAAGGTGGAAGAGTGCAGTTTAAAATAAAGGAAAAAAGAAGGAAGAAAGAAGATGAAGAAGGCAGCTAATGTCAAAATAGTGGAGATCAGTAAGCTCAGACTGCATTAATGTTAGTTAGCAACAAAAGTCTAAACCAGAAAGATGGAAAAAAGCAAGAAAAACATTTTATGAACAGATCTTTTAAAAGGCAATTTGATCCAAGCATGTTGAAAACTGAAGACTAGCAAATGGAAATTCAGCTGAGTGACACAAAAGTTACAGGCCAAATATAGTGGACATTAAAAGATAACAAAGAAGAAATTTGAAGAGGAATTAGCTAAAAACTTTAATAACAGTGTTTTGCGCAGACATCAGAAAGAATTCTTGACAGAAGGACAGTAGTCAGTTTATGGCTGTTGGCTTATTAAGAAGCTCCACCCCACAAAATCTTTTTCATTAAGGAGACATTAGTTGACACTCATTAATTTTACTGAGAAGTTTAACATTTCTGTTTACAGGTTAAGAAAATGGGGCTGGATTCAAAAGATGGTGAAGGTGGCCCTTCCCTGGCCCTTTAAGAGTCATATAGCAGAAACAGACAAAAGGGACATCAGAAGACAATGTTAGTCTGAGCTGGCCATACTGTCACCTGCATCCATCCTTCTGGAGACCTAACATGCCAAGGAAGAGGCAACATCAAAATACTCTGAGTTGCAATTTTGTACGTTTTTTTTTGGCAAGAGCTCAGGCAATGCACAACTCTCATGAATGTAGTTTCTTCAAGTTGCAATTATTAAATCTGTTGCTCGTTCTCTGCTCTTCTTTGAGCTAAGCCATTGCTAATGCTTAATGATGAGATATTAATCAGAAGCATGACTGCTCTTAATTAAACCTTGCCCCATGTTCTCAGAGATACTGCTGTGAACAGGGGAGGTGGAAACCCCCTGTGGAAGATGAAATGCAATCTGCAAACAATACTGAAAATATACTGCTCAACCAATCTTCTGTGTGCCAGCGAGGCACAAGGATACATTCAGAGTAGTGTTGCCCTGTTGAGGAACTTTTTCTCTCCTTGCACAAAAAAATACACAAGAGTGGAGAATACCATTTCAGCTCAAACCATGAAAATATTTTGGCATGTGGAATAGAGATGTATGATATATTCAAGGCATATTTCTGTATGGATTTACATGCTGGATATGAAGATTCTGAAGTCACCTTGCTTCTTATGACAAAAGATTTGTTTCTAAAGCAAGATGATGGTATTCTTACACAGCAGGATAATCTTTTTGAGTCAAAAGCTGATTAGTAAAGTGCTAGATGACAAACTGCACTGAGCAAGGGCCTTTTCACCACAGGACCTGCAGTTGGCAAATATACTCATGTTCATTTGGACCTCTGCTACCATGCTCTCTGGAGCTCCATCCAGGTACGTTTAAAAATGACTATGTTGACTAAGAATTTCCACCTCTTCTCCCAAAAAAAGTATTTCCTTCCAAAATTATGGATCTGGAGCCTGGAACTTGGATAAGGTAATAATTCAACAGAGTATTAACAAACTTACAGTTCAGTATTCCACTACCCTGTAGGTTTGGGAGATTCCTGGCTTTCCAGTGAAAGCCAGTCTTCAAAGTGCTTAAGTACAATACCTAAAACCCACACTTCTACTATGTAACAATGCTATTTAAGGTCATTTATAGAAGTGACTGATCCTTATTAGTTAAACTTTTGCCACTTTGCAAAGCAGGGGTCACTTCTACAGTAAGCTACTCAGGAAACATTTTTCCTGTAGTCAGATTAGTGAGATCCTTGGCAATTAGTAGCATCCTAAAAAGACTAATAGCCAATTCTGCAGGAATAAAGTGGTATCACAAGAGCTTTATAAGGTATATAATCTTACTGCATATTAAGCTTTTTACATCTTTCTAAGATGGTCTAAAAACATAGAAGTTTTATGTAGGTACTATAAACAGGCAAGTGATATTATTAATACTTTCAAGAGTTTATGTATTTGCTTGCTGAAAAGAGACTGTAAATATAGAACTTCATAGGGATGCATCCCTACAGTCTTACTTGCTCAAGTCCAGAAGCAGCATTTCTGCAAAACTGCATGTAGATTAGTAAATAGAAAATTCTGCCACTAGACTCAACTGCTTTTAAACCTCATCTGCTTGCACAGAGCCAGCTTGTGGGTCCACATAATATTTTTTAAGATTGAGTTTAAGACCAAAGTGGATGTTTCTGAACTGTGAGACAGACATGTCCCAAAAAAGGAATAATTCTAGTTTAACCAGGGAACAGACTTGCCTGTTTCAGGCTGAGAATTCTCACCAATGGTCTGCATCATTCAAAAAGGGCAAAAAGGAAGATCGAGGAAACTACAGACCAGTCAGCCTCACCTCCACCCCTAGAAAAATGATGGAGCAGCTCATTCTAGAGGTCATCTCTAAACACATGAAAGATAAGTTTATCAGGAGTAGCCACCATTGATACACCAAGGGGAAATCATGTTTGACTAATCTGATAGCCTTCTATGATGGTGTGACAGAACGGGTAGGCATAGGGAGAGCAGTGGATGTCATCTACCTTGACCTTAGCAAGGTTTCTGACACTGTCTCCCATAACATCCTTGTGAGAAAGCTCAGGAAGTGTGGGGTAGAAGGATGGAAAGTGAGATGGATTGAGAACTGGCTGAACAAAAAAGCCCAGAGGGTAGTGATCAGTGGTGCAGAGTGGAGTTCCCTGGGGATCAGTGCTGGCTCCAGTCCTGTTTGACATCTTCATCAACGACCTAGATAATGGAACAAAGTGCATCCTCAGCAAGTTTGCTGGTGATACAAAACTGGGAGGGTTGGCAGATACACCTGAGGGCTGTGCAGCCATTCAGCAAGATCTGGACAGATTGAAGAGCTGGGCAAAGAGGAACCTAATGAGGTTCTCTCAGAGAACCTGCAGAGTTCTGCAGAACTCTGCACCTGGGGTGCAGGTTCTGCAGAGTCCTGCACCTGGGGAGGAACAACAACACGCACCAGTACAGACTACAGATCTAGCTGATCTGCTAGAAAGCAACTCCATGGAGAAGGACCTTGGAGTCCTGGTAGATCACGAGCTATCCATGGGACAGCAATATGTCCTTGTGACCAAGAAGGCCAGTGGTATCCTGGGAATGCATTAAGGAGAGTGTGTCCAGAAGGTCGAGGTAGGTTATTCTACCCTGCTATTCTGCCCTAGTGAGACCCAACCTGGAGTACTGTGTCCAGTTCTGGGCTCCCCAGTTCACGAGGGACAGGAATTTATGAGAGTCCAATGGAGGGCTATGAGGAAAGGCTGAGACTTGGGGCTGTTTAGTCTAGAGAAGAGGGGGGATCTTATTAATGTATATAAATATCTGAAGGTTGGGTGTCAAGAAGGAGAGGCCAATCTCTTTTCAGTCGTGCCCCGTGATAGGACAAGGGATGCAAGCTAGAGCACAGGCAGTTCCACCTCAATGTGAGGAAAAACTTCTTTACTTATAAGGGTTACAGAGCACTGGAACAGGCTGCCCAGAGAGGTTGTGGAGTCTCCTTCTCTGGAGACTTTCAAGATCCATTTGCATGCATATTGGTGTGAGCTGCCCTAGGTGGTCCTGCTCTGGCAGGGGGTTGGGCTTGACGACCTCAAGAGGTCCACTCCAAACCCTAACATTCTGTGATTCTGTGATTTCAGTAGGAAGCTGGCAGTGATGTTAGGGTATGGGCATATATTAGGGGAAAAAGAAAAAAAAAAAGGTGAAGAGAAACTAGTTGAGATGGGTTCATAGTGACAGAGGTCATATCTGTAGTACCTATTTCATTTCTAGGGGGAAGATCCTCATCTTCATGACTGGGATACCTCTCCTTCCGGTCAAGCAGAAGAAAATAAATCATTTTCTCTTGGTTTTCTCTGAAAAAAAAAAAAAAAAAGAAGAAAAAATAAATTAATTATTTTTAAATTTGTAAAGGAAAAACCATCCACATGTGGAGGAAGTCCTCTCATCAAAAAAAAAGTAACAGCTATTCTAAATAAGCTGGAAATGGTCAGGCACCTGCCAGTTATTTACTTAGCCCACAAAGCTTTTAAGAACCTTGCTGTCTCCAACAAGCAGCTAGTGAGAAAAGGAAATATGATTCCCATGTTACACACATAGAACAGACAAGGACAGGACAGAGGAAGTAACGTGTCCACAGAAAGTCCAAAACAAGAGTGGCAGCAAGACACATCTCCTGAGCCTGTAAGTGCTCTTTTCATTACATTTCCCTCTTAACATCTCAGAAAACAGAGCAACTGTCAAGCGTAAGCTTGAAATAAACAAAAACCTGCCAACAAAGGCATATCTAACACAGATAACAGCAATGATACTTCCCCATCAGGACTGCATGGCCCATCTTTTCATGAAGTGACCTTGCCTGACAGCAAGGGAAGAGACAGCATCATGCCTCTGTTGTTTGTGAGGCTGTGAGCTTCTGACATACAATGCACAAAAGGCTCAGTGCTCACAATCTCTACCTCTCCCCAGGTTTATAAGCCTCCCAGCCTGTGGATACCCAACTGATATGAAGACTGAGCAAGTGCTTACTCTTCTGACAACAAGTCCTGTAAGAGTTTATTTCGGTCACGGAAGCAGCCTAAAGAATGCATGCTATCTAACACGTCTGGATCAATATCCTCCAAGGAAGGGAGAGAACGAATCTGCACCTTTCGAGGGATTGGTTGCTCTGGTTCTGGCTCATTCTTACCCCCTCTGCAGAGGAAAGAAGATGAGAGGGAGAAAAGGGGCAGGGAAGGAAGGAGAGAAAAGAAACATGAGTCACAAACAAACCCATACTCTGAAACACAGCCTGCAGCAACAGATGGAAATAGCTTGTTAAATTCCCACTGACAGACCAGAGCTTGCAACCAGACAGATATTATTTTCAGAAGAAACTGCCGTGAAGGCTAAGAGTGACCAGCATCTGGTGGATTTCAGTCTTTAGCAAGAAATGTCTGCACTCAGTCAGAAAGGCAGTAGGAACTTCACTTACCAGTGCACTCATCATTTAAACAGCTGTTCGGTGTCCTAATGCCAAACATTTATAGAACACTATGTGGTTTTAGAGATGCTGTCTCATCAGCAGGCCAGACCTCAGGCGATCAGGCTGAGGAGTACAAGCTGAATGATTTTCTTTCAAAGAAAGAGCTGTGAACATGCTATCACTGTTTTTCACCAACTCTGATTGCAACCAGTGTTGCAACAGTTTCTTTCTTTAAAGCTTCCAATGTGATTAAGAGACCTCAGTGTTCAGGTCTGCACTTGACACACTTTAAAGGGTTTTTGGGGAAACCAGGCTGTTTATTTACACACCCAAATATGACAGCCTCTTCAGCTGTGCTAATTTGAAAACTGTGGCCCAAGTGTGAAGACGGAGGTCAGTGGCAGACAGAGGAATACACCATTAGTGGGAGAGCATATTACTCTTTTAAAAGCAGTTAGGACAAGATGTCTGCATAGTTATCTCATCCCATTCACTAGATTCAGGACATATTTATTATTGTCACAATTAAAAGCCCTCACTGTAAGAAATAGGTCAAGGTGTCAGGGTATCTATAACCAACCGAATGATATATATTGCAGGCAAGTTGAATATACTTCAATTTTGTTTAGGTAGGCAAGGAGCCAACTTTGGTAAACTCTAGCCACCCAAAGAGGTGGGTTTGACAGTGGTGGTATTTTGGCTGGAGAAACTGTCTACCCTGAATCCTCAGTATTTCTCAGTGAATGCTTTGTGCAATGTCCAGAGTTTCCATACTCCTTGGATGAGATACTCTGTGTAGGAAAGTTGAGGTTGAGTTCCAATGCTGAGGCTTTCCTACTGTGTGTCCTTTCTTTTATGTAAAGTAAACGTATGACTATTCAGTGTAGGCTCCCAAGGTGAGTAATAGGAATCAGGAATATTTACACTGCATTAGAGATTCTTTCTTTTAATGCTGGCAGAAATAAGGTGAACACACCTTGTGAAATTCTTCACGTAGCTTAAAATGCTATATAATGTTATAAATAATGCTAGATGAGCTACTCAAGTATCTACACAGAAAAAGGAGCACCAGTTCAAATGCCCCTATTTTTCTTGGGTTAGAAAGCAACTCTGGTAGGATCATATGCATAAGATCAAGGTCTCAGGCAGTATACCAAAAAGAGAGCCAATGCAGAGTATCTCCTCCAAGGCATGAAGGCAATGCTAAGTCATTGCAGCCAGGGCTCTGCTGCCACGACTGGACAGTTACCTGCTACACCTCAATCACAGGAGATTGCTGGATACTACTTGTAATATATTTTAAGCAAGTAGAAATGAAGTTGTGAGGCACTTGCTCTGTTAAACATGTTTGTGGGACATGACTTGCAGAAAGACTTGTCAGAAATTATAATTTTATCTTCTCTTGAAGCAGTGAAAATGTGCTCAGACCCTTCCTGGGTACATGTCAAGGAGTCAGATTGTGGTGTGCATTACATGGGTCAAGTGTCCATGTCTTCTGCAATAACACCATGGTCCTAAATTTAAGGGCTAGATTCCAAAATCGATGTTCAATACCTTGTTACTTGAGTGTCCTGTCTTAAAGAGGTAGCTATTGCTATCTTTTAGGATCAGGATCTTGCTCTCAGTGGGCAACAGGAATTACTAGATCATAAACTTGCACTACTAAAGCCAGTGATGACCTTGTCATTAAGACATATTATTGCAGGATGGACAGCAGCTGAGTGTTTTTGGTTTTTAATGATCTGCATTTCACTTTTAAAAAGTATTGACTTAATTAATCATTAATTGTGTCACAAGCAGATGTTATGAGGTTAATTTAAAAAGATTAAAACAAATTACTGTTTTCCAGACATTCTGGGTTTCCTACAAGTCACACTGGTCTGTAGCAGAATATCACCTGCAAGCTTCATTTCTATCAATCAGCATGGAAGTCATTTCTAGAGAGCAGAGCTTGACATCCACTGACAAGTGGTGCTCCCTTATGCCTTGCACCTGGTCAGCCTCAGACCTGGTCAGGAATTTTCACACCTCCTCATCAGGTACATGCAGAACCTGCAAAGAGGCACCTCATCATTTGGCAACACATTTTCAGTGCTTCTGAAAACGAAAATCACTGGGTCTGGGATGTGACTGGCGTGACTGTGTTGCCTGTTCCATTCTGAGTCTCACAGAGAGTCACGAATATGATGCATATCAGCCCACATTGACATGAAGCATCATCACACGTTGCGTATTCCAAATCACATATATTTTATAAAGGCCTGCATGACTGTAATTGCTACTTTAAAATCCAGCCTCTTTTCTGATGATTGGTGCATACAACACCTGTGATTCCAGACCAAGGTGGATTTTTTCCGTCAATTCATGAAATTCCCTTGTGAATCTCACCAAGAGGCACATTTGTAACAGTGCAAAGAAAAGCAAAACCAGAACAGTTATTCTTCTTCTGATTTTAGTAAATTGGGTACCTTCACAATTTGGGCAATAACTTGCATTTGCCATAATACCTAATTTTATATGCCTTCTTGCTTTACTAAAAAAGTGTGAAAATCACTCCTGTTTATTTGCTGATTTATGCTAACCTGTGCTTGAAGTAAAAATAAATTATTTTAATTCAAAAAGATTTAAAAAACCTCACTGAGTTAATTTGGGTGGGAGAGCAAGAAGAACTGGAGGTTGGTGATGAAAGGTTTCTTTTTGGTTTCTTTTTTCCTTTTTTTAGGCTTGTGAATCATGAGTTCAACTTTCAAGACCTCATTCTCTGTCTGCCTGCTCTGCAATTAAATCTTTTCCTCAGTTTTATAGTAGCCTTAGTATTTATTTGAAGAATTAAGTGAAATCACTTATATGTTTTGAGCACAACTCTCAGGTCAGTTACCTATATATAGCAACAAATGAAGATTTTACATAAAATATTACATTAAAAACAGAAAAAAGGAAAGATGTGAGCAAAACAGTAATAGAAGAAAACAATTATAACCCCTCCTTCTCTGTCAGCATCACTATTTCCAGGCAAAATTAATGCAAAGTGGTTGCGAAACATCACCAGATGAAAGCAGTTTAGTTTTGGAGGTGGCAGGGTTATTCACAGACTAAATTTAGCCAAAGGAACTTAACTTAGTCAGGTCAAGTCATGGCCAGTGTAAGGAAAAGGAGAAAGAGACTCATTAAAAAAGCTATTTTGAGGAGAAAATTCCTTTTAGGCAATCTGAATGGACTTCAGGAATAACCTTTCTCTCTCTGTGTTGAGTACATTGGGAGTTTGGGGAGACGTGCCTTTGCAAAACTCAGTTTCTACTCCTACAAACAGCACCAGATGCTATTTCCATTGGGGTAAAAACTTTTTTACTGTGTCAGTCATCAAAGAGTCTGAGCTTCATTGGGAAGGACATGAAAGTGTTTCAAATACTTGTGTCTGCAAATAAAAAAGTTTCCAGCTTCTAATTCGAGAATAAAGCAATGAAGTAACACCTGCCTAAATTGTACATGTGAGCCTTGGACAACAGTCCTTTGGCTAGTGAAAACTTCCAGACAAGTAACCTGGGGAGTGCCAGAATGATAATGCAAGTGAAAAATGACACACCACTTTCTTTCCTGTTCCAGTTCTGATCAAAGCACAGAGAAAGTCAATTGATTTCAGCCCATGAAGAAACAAAGGGTATCAGCTGTCCAATCTAATGTAAACAGCAATTACTTCTGGAACTGCCAATAAGACATTATAGAGGGGGTATTTCAAAGATTATTCCAATTAGATATTTCCCTTCTCTGTTTCTCCTACATTTATTCATGGGAGTTAAAAAAAAAATCACCTGCAGCAAACACTACAGTCTTTTGGTTTAAAAAGGTGCCACATCACATGGTAACCGTAGAGATCATGAAAAAGCCATGTGCAGAGTGCTGCCACCATTTCAGGTGAAATAAAAAAAATAAATGTTACTCAACAAATTGTTGAATGCCCTCAGGTCCTACTGAAGTCAGATAAATCCAGAAGGGAACATTGTTCAAAAGACAGAATTAGAGAAAACAAAACAAATCAAACAGAGGCTTTGCTTTCCCCTCTGGTGACAGGTTTAAATCATCAGGCTCCTATCATCCTCAGTTATGAAGGCAGAACTTATTACTCACCTGGGGAACCTGTAGTTATGCTTGCTCCAAGAAACACGTATCAAAGCATTGTTTTCTTATTTAATATGTGAAGTATTCTCCTTAGTTTTATTAGGTTATCATCAATATAAAAAATGTTATTTAGTTAAGTTTCTTGAAATAGTATTAAGGCTACACAAAGTGCAAAGTCACTTTTAAAAGCAATTAATCTTCCTTATACCCAAACCACTGGACAGGTGCATACTTTTCTCACAGACCTGTTTCGCTGTCAATATTGCTGCTTTTAATCAAGTCAGAGAAGTACTCTCAAGCAACAGGTTAAAAGGTCAGAAGCAGCCTCTTAGCTCGATGGTTTAGGAATTATGAGAAAGAAAAGCTCTTGTTCACATCTGCTTTCTTATCAATATCAGCATTTTTTGTTTCTACTTCAGAGAAAAGCCAAGACACCGAGAAAGAACATATGAAAGCTTTCTTGTTCGAGAAGATCCTACAAAGGTTTGCCTATAGCACTTGGACAGCAAACTAAATGTAGCTGTCAGTTGGCAGTTTTCAGCTGATCATTTGCAGGTATTAACACCCAAGTCGCTGGACTGGAGATCTTGTTTCAAACAATTGTTAGCCACTGTATAAAAAGTTCCTTGCTTTATATATATAGATATGAAATTATTTTAATAGCAAAGGGTAAAAAACCCTCACATAGATGCCTTCCTCTGCCCCTTTCTTCACCTATGCAAAAGCTGCTTCCAAACTCCAGTTTCTCTCTTCAGAGATCACTAGAAGATCTGCTCTTGTAATAGAACCAATAATGAATGCATGCAAAAGTGAATGTAAAAAATGTTACTTACATATACCATATGTGTTTCTGAATATGTTCTAGCTGTAAAGGAAAAGACAATAAGGAATCAGTGTTGTAAAATAGAAAAGGTAACTCCACAAGACATCTATATTCAAGGCTTGTTCAAGTAAGTCCAACATTACAGAGATGGATCTGTGCAAACCACAGGAAGTTTATGCTGCATAAAGACAACACTCGTTCTCACCCATTCCACTGGAAATGAGATTAGAATTACAGACATAAGGAATCAGACAGGGGCAAATCCCAGGAAAATGCACATGTACAAGGCTTCTCAGGCAAGTGTTTTGGCAATTTAAGTTTTTCCCTTCCTAAGTGCTTCCCCTCTATCACCAGGCTGATGCTAACAAATTACTCCTTTCTGCATGTGCATGATAGATTATTCTTTACATACAAAGTTCATTTCTAGCTCTGTTTGGGGAAAGAAGAGAGAAAGAGGGAAACAGGAACAGGTTCAAACAGTTAATGGGAAAAAAAAAAAATAAATGGTGCAGCTCTGACATGACCTTCTCCAACACCCTGTTCTTGATTGTCTTCACATTTATTGTGAAAAACTAAAGACCAAGTAGAATAAGGTTCTGTATCAAAATAATACCATTTATTGATCTAGCACCTGAACATTGGACTGCAAATGTTTTATCACAGAATGCTTTGGGTTGGAAGGGACCTTAAAGACCATCTAGTTCTGGTGTGGTTTGGGCCCAACACGGCAACAAAGGAGCCCCTTGGCCACTGACTCAGCTCCCTCCACACACACTCTGGGGTGAGGAGGACAAAGGCCAACTAGAAGCTCATGGGTTGAGCCAAAGGACAAGGAGGGTTCTTCACCGATTAAGGTCCCAGTCAAAACAGACTCAACTTGGGGAAAAAATAATAATTTAATTTCACACTAATCAAACACACACAGGACACAGACAACACAAAGGGCAGAGCTTACACATGTTATCCTACCCCTCCCTTCTTCCCGGGCCCAAATCACTTTGTTCCCAGTTTCTCTCCCTCCTTCCCCCCAG